CCTGTGTTATATTTAAAGAAATTAAATAATGAAGAATCTGTATAAATGTATGAATGTTTCTCGCATTGTGGTAAAACAATGGTACCTAGAGCCATCCAATTTTGAATAACGTAGTGTAATTGAATAACGAATTGGTAATGTAATTGGTAGTGTAATTGAATAACGAATTGGTAATGTAATTGGTAGTATAATTGAATTCGTATTCAATAATGAATATGGACCTATTCTAATGGCCCTAATTAGAATTTGGAAGCTGTTTTATTATCGATTTCATATTTTGTAACACTTCAACGAATTTTTGATTAACAAACTCAATGATTTCAATGCGAGCAATACAAAACTCTACGGAAAAGAAAAAAAAAATTATATCCAGCGCGCAAGACTGTGTATCGGAAGTTCTAAAGATATGCTCATTTAAAAATTATTTTGCGATATCGCTGTTGAATTGAATTTTATGGTTTAAGTGCAAAGAACATTTAATAAATGAATAAATGAAGGTAACACACAGAAGGTTAAAAAAATTGCCTTTGGGCGTAAAGTAAAATCTGGAAGCTTTCAGATTTTTTATATATTGTTAAGAATTTTGTATTAAGTTAGATATTTTTAGTAGAATTATAATTAGAATTATTGTGTTTCTCCGTGCAACGCAGCGCGAGACAAATTTTAAGAGAAAGCTGCGCCGGCGAGGTAACAATACAGAAGCACGTGCGTTTTACATTAAATAAATGTAATTGACTACTGTTTTGAACTGTAACCTTAATCACATACTATTCCTTTCCAGAAATTCCGAGAAGCAGAAATCTCGCACGGCCGGTTAAAAATTTTTAGGACCGAAGAGAGGGACATATAAGCTCAGTTGTAGTTCTTTTAGTTAGTTGCTTTGTCACTGTTGTGATTTTTAGCTCCACGCGAACTGAGATAAATGAGTTAGCTTTCTCTTTAGATAATGCTTTGCACTGCGTTGTATTTTAACATTTTTAGTACTAGTTTAAAGTGTAATTTTGCGTGATATTTGGACACTTATGCAAGTGTCTCTGAGGGAAATTCCAGCGTTCTGCTATATTTCTTTTGATAAGAATAAATTTTATTAACCTTTTATCGGACTTGAACATTCAATCTATTACGAACCCGTACGCATGCAACAATATTTATTCCTTTCATCAAGCTAAAACCAAGAATCTGCGAAATCGTTGTGTCTTGGAAAGCATTTTTAAAAGTTTTACGATTTTCATTTTCATTTTTACGATTTTCATTTTATGAAACAGTCGACATTTTTTTACACTGTGGTTTAATATATTTCGTAAACATATGTTACCGTGAAAGACCGAGATTGGATAATGTCGACTTTCACCGGAGAACGTCAACATTCACCAAATACGTCGGTTACATTCTTGCACATTCGGGCCCTCAACGGTGTATGTTGACAATGACAGATATGCTCTGGTGTAGGTCGAAAAGAGAGGAGTCTATGTACATACTGTCATTGCAAAAGGAAGTATTCCACAAATAAATGCAGTTGTAAAAGCAAGGGCCTCTTGTGCAATTCAAAGCGCCATATAATAATTTACGTTGTTGCAATAAATAAGATTTGAATCACATAATGTAGTAAGTTTTTAGCTTTTATTTTTTTTCCTTTCTCATTTTGAATGTACTGTGTGTTTTAAGTTCTTATATTCTTGAGTTTTTATTTTAAGTTTCAAGTGCGTTTTTTCGCGACTCAATTACGGAGAAGAAAATATAATATTGTTATATGTTCAACATTCACCATTCGTACATGGTGAGTGTCGACATTGACCGGTGTAAGTCAGAAATAAGAATATTTTGAAAATATTTCGGTCATACACCAAGCGATTAGGTGAATGTTGGCATTCACCGGTGAAAGTCGACATTCTCCAGATTTCGGTGTTTCACCGTAACATATACATCAGAAATATTTTACGCTTAGTTTTCCATACATTTCTGTGTTAAAAATTCTGGAGGTGAATTCATATTACCCACGCGAAAGTTGATTTACATAGATTTGGTTGTTAAAAAGCCTACTGTTCATGGAAGAAATGTATGAACTGATAATCATCCTGGACAGCAAAGTTCGTGTTGTAGTGCGAACGAAGTTAAAATATCTTTTGAGCATTCGACAAAATGTCGAATTTTAAGCAAATGGCTTCTGAAGAAAGAAACTTATAAAATCCAGTCTCTGTCAGGTCACGGGCATCGTATTGTCCATATTTTTGTTCTCTGACTCCAGTGTCCTCACTTATTTAATATGGATCTAATATCAAAGTTTTCAAACAATTCAGATATTACGGCCAGACATTAATAGAGGCATTTCGCGAGTGTCTTCAAAAATATCAGAAGGTCTGAAGATTTTTTAGTGTTCCATGGATATATTTTTAAAACGAAATGTAAAAGATGCAGTACCTGAATTTGGTCTGATATTAACCATTTTGCATGTGAGCACTTTTTACGCACATATTTGGTAACTCGTTTCACAATGAAAAAATGCGATGCGGACACCGCATGACTTCCTTGCGTAGAATTTTAAATTGTACTCGTTTTTTGTTGCATTTTATTTACTTATTTCCTCGAATTTCATTAGAGACAGATTTCTCATTAAATATATTTTCTCACTTCGCGGCAAGGCAAAATACATAAAAAGTCAAAATGCTACTGTGATTTTAAATATCTGCTTTAAATTTGCTACCTATGTACTTATAAAACCATTTATTGGTGATGAAGAAGATTATGAATCAAAGTAGACTATCACTGAAATAAAAAGCACTATTTTAGGATAATTATATCTTCATTGTTTGGACACATAGTTTTTCTTTCCAAATCTAATAATATATATTTCAAATACATTAAATATATATTTCAAAAAATTATATCCACATTAAAATATTGGAAATTCGGTGTCATGTTATAATATTTAACATTCTGAAATACTTAACACTATCACTTCCTCACAGTACTTCTGATATGAAATTACTTTAAATACATAGAATATATTTAATTTTACAGAAACATGTTTTTTTTCCTTTATCTATATGTAGTAAGTCATACAAATAAAGAAATCTATGCAATTTATATATAAAAACTGGAATAGCAAGAAATTCGAACTGAAAACTTGGTTTCGGAATAAAAGATAAAGTCTTTCAGGTACTTAAAACTTTGAATAAATATTTCAGAAATTTTCAAAATTCGATTTGAGAAATCAAAAATGTTTAATTTTATTCTGAATTTGGTACACATATTTTAATTTTCGAAAACAAATTATGCTTATTCACAGCTTTCATTCACAAGATTAGACCATATAATAATGTAAATTGTAAGCTAAATTTTCCATTAAATAATCATAATAGTAGGAAAATTAAGTTATTAAAATACTTCCTGAAAAACTTTATAATCATGAAAATTTGAAAATGTTAAAACAGCTGGTCATATATATATATGTCTCAGTAAATCTGTATTACAATCTGCTAGATTTAACTTCTTAAAATGCTACTTTATAAATTAATAATTTAATACAGCTTGTGAATTGATATTAGTGGTCGTTTGTCTACTTGAGCATAATATGTACAAAAAATCGAATAATAAATTTTAATATACATTGAAATAAGAAAAAAAATGTGAATTTAATTTATCTTACATGAAAATTATTCACCTTTCTTTGCAATGCATAATATCCAAAAATTAAGATACCATAAAATACTCTCAGGCTATTGTTTTTTAACTTCACATATTGCTCAAAATATTGCTGAAGAAATGTTTCTATTTCTTATTTCAAAATTATGAAGAGCTTAAAATTAATTAACCTATTACCCCAAATTATGAATAAAGCTTAAAATCTTCAATTAGCTTATGACGCTTTTTACTTTTGAGAAGTTATATTCATACAAATTCCTAAACATTAATCATTACAGGTGAATAAACGTTTACATATATATTTTTAGTCTGTAACTTATCTTTATATATGCTAATTCTAATTCTAAGTCTCATATGCAAAGAATGAAGTAAATTTTAATGTGAAGTAATACGGATTAGCTCACATGTGTAAGATAAAAATTCATTTTTTTATAATTCTGCTGAAACTTCTTATGTATTTTATTTATTGATTAAATCTGAGTAAGAATCATTAACATAACTGCCGAATTACAATAATTTCCATGAACAAAGTATTTTAAATATAAATGAAAACAAGCAATGTATGAAACACTTCTTAATTGGAAATATATGTATATTATACATATATAAATGGACAATATGAAGAAATATTTTGTTAGAAGAAAATATCAGGCGGATTTCTGTTTCAGCGTTTTCAAAAGAATAATTTTTAAAAATTTTTCTTAAAGTAATTCTAAAGCGGGAAATAGTTTAAAATCCTGAATTCCATAAAATATTTTTAATGCTCTTTGACAATAACGGAAAATATTATATGGAACGTAATGTATTTGCATAAGCTTTAGTATATAATATTGCATCAATTTATTGTAGCTATCGCAACATCTTAAACCCATTTTCAACATCGTAAATTTTCAAGATCCATTGTTAAGAGTATAATATTGAATATTATTATAATGGATTTATGAAATAACTCATTTAGATAAGAATTTATCTTTTAACAGACTTTTCTCATTCAAGTTTGTTACTATATACAAAAGCATTTACATATCTCTGAACAAGGAAATTCATCCTATAGTTTGTTGTAATTCTGATACCATTTATACCTCCGAGACGAATGAACAAAATAGTAATAGAAAACTATTCAGAAAAAATTTAAACGGTTTTGTATTAACACCTGTATGCTGTTAGAATAGCAAACATGTATGCAATATAAAATTCCAAATATTTCCATTTAATTCATAATTCTTTTCAGAAATAATCTTCAATTTCTAGATCTAGAGATTGTAATTGAATTGCACTGCTATTGTAATATAGTTACACAGAATAAATATCAAATACATTGCATTTTCACTTAAAACGAGAACAGAAATTTCACCCACCTGAATAAGAATCAGGATTACGGTCGGAAACATAGCAGTTATTTTCAATTTAGCCGTACGATGCACAGACTATCCTGGAAACATAGGAATAATCTGTAAGACAAATAAAATAAGAACAGACACCCAATACTTTCTCATAAAATACATTTTATATATTTGAAGTATTATTAGTTCATTCAGAAATTAAATTCGGTTAAATGTGTTGCAAAATGTGGAACAATTGCGAAATTATCATGTAATGTAATGCTCAAAATATTCTTTTGAAACATCAAAATCACAAAGATATTATAATATTTAACTAGCGTTATGTACTAAGTAGATTTTTATTATATAACGAAAATCATTGTGAAGGATCACAATGTGCAGTATTTAATACTCTGAAGTGATGTGAAATCCGATAATTTTATATTCTCACAAAGAGAGTAAATTTAGATTTAGTAGGTGAGAGGTTTGGATAATATACTGTTTATTACTATTAATTTAGTTACCCAAATGAAATTTGATTTTTCCTTCTATCGGTTTAAGGTAATGTGATCATTACGTTATTATATTAAAGTTCTAATTTGATAGTTAGCTCCAGCTTTTTAAGGAAAAATTTTAATAAATTTAGTGGGAATTTTATAATTCGTTAGAATTTTAGTAAACAAATTTAGTTCATCATGTAAGTAATCTACTTCCGTACAAATATTTTTTATTCTACTTATTTGTTTAAAAATCGTATTACTAATTGCTTTTCTGAAAACGCATGTATGCCAGTTAAATATTTTAATACTGGTAAAGTTAGTATCTCTTCTTTTATCAAAAGGAATCATTCTATTGTAGTACATTATTCGTAGCTCCAGAAAATCTATTTCTATTTTACTTCCATTGGTTTTATTTAGAATTAAGCAAGGTAAAGGTAAAGGTAAAAGTATGGGGGCAACAACGATGTACCATAGGTCAACTGGTAATGCCTTCCCATACTAACTCTTAAAAAAATCTGATGTGTACACCACATGACTTCCTTGTACGGAATATTAAATTATACGCATATTTTCTTGCATTTCATTTAAATTGATTGGATTGAATTAAATCTACTTCGCCGACAGCGCATAAACCACAATAGAATAAATGCATTCTTTAAAATTCAATCTAGTATTTGTTTATCATAGAGACACTCTGGCGCTAGATTCACTAAACAGTATTAATAATTATATGACAGTTAACTTATATAATAATTATATAACGGAAACTAAGTTAACTGTTATATAATCCAATAATTATATAACACTGAACTTATATATTTCGTTCATATTATAACTCATAATGCACAAAATTTATATCATTTAAAGAATAGAATTATCTAATCGTTGCCCCATGTTCTATTCAAATACTGTAATAAAGCTGGAATGATGCATAAAAGAAATTAAGCAAACAAAACAAAAAAGAAACAGTTTTTCACAGACGATTGAGTATTTCTCATTTAATTAATTCAGATCTCACTTCGCGAGAAGGCAAAAATACATAAAAACTCAAAATATCTATATTAAAAATTACGAAGTAAATCTCAAACATTTATTTCCTCGAAAAAATTCCAGAAAGAATTAAGCATGATTTAATTGGCAATAATAAATGAATGCGTTATCTTTGTTGTTGCAAAGCTAAGTTTCTCTGGATTAGCAACAAATCCACTAGTCTCCAGTTTCAAATGTAAACATCAATGGCCGCCATAAAAAAAGGCTTATCGGCACTTAGACAACTTTAAAATTGTTGATAATTCTAAAAGTATTGCATACTAAAGGCATAGAAACCTTAACCGGAAGATAAAAACAACATAATACAACCATTTTTAAAGCAAAAAATGTACATTTACAAACATATAAGAGTAAAGAAACTGAGAACACTGAGTCGGGTAACAGAGTGGATATATATATAAATATATTTATATACGTTTGGTGTGGCTGATTACAACCAAAACACGAGGTGCACATCTACATGTTACTCCTGTATACGAAATTTCAACGTTCTGAGGCTACTCGTTTTTGAGTTAGGAGAGATACGTACGTGTGCACGCACGTACGTACTTACGTTCGTACAGACGCCACGAAAAATTCTCTTCAAAATTAATTTTAAAGCAGTTTTATAATTTTTTTGAAGGAAAAGAGTATTTTATTCTGTCCTTACGAACAGATATCACGCAAAAACATCGTTAAATTGCATTCGATAGCGGTCAAAATGGATATTTTCGTTGAAATATGCTGCCTGAAACTTTTCGCCATTACAATACTTCCTTTTTACTTCGTACAAGGAAGTAAAAAGGAGGATTGCAAGTTTTATAGGAATTTACATAGACTGAAGCTTTCCAAAAGGTCTAGAGTTTGCCTATTATGGTACATTGTGCAATCCCACAGTACGCCCCGATCCAATATTTATTAAAAATAATGATGTAGGACATAAGTAGATTACAAAATAATCGGAATACAATTTGAGATTCACAAGATAAATTGAACATCTGATTTGGAGCAACAAAAATAGGAGATAAACATAATTAACAAAAACATAAACATAATGAGATTATGATAATTAGTACTGGCAGTGCAATGTTAAAATGAATTATAATAATAATGCTAAAGATGTGGGTGTCCATGGGTTTTCAGATATATTGGTTTATTGCAGTTTATAAAGTTCGCGAGCGGAGCCATTTTGTCCATAATCACAGCATGTAAAAGTTCACTAAGCAGTATGTAAACTTTCACTCGACAGAGATGTAAACCGTAGGAAGAGAGTCGTTGCATAATTTTCTAAAACTTTGGATATTGATGATTATCTTTAATTAAAAACCTTTGAAATGCCAAGAGATCAGTTCTTGGGGATTTAATGTGAATATCCTCAGTTAAGGGGCATGAGAAAGTGTAATGATCAGGAGTTCCATGTTCCCCACATATACAGATATCAGAATTTGCCAAATTTCTTGCGTAGAAATATGTGATGAAGGGTCCATGTCCTGTTATAAAATAATTTAGTGAAGGATTCGAGTACAGAGATGCGAAGCTTACATTGGGGGTCAAGTTATATGTGCGTCTTCCCTGTGGAGCATTGTTCCACAAATCTTGCCAAGATTTTGAAGCAAGTTGTTTTAGTTGGTACGGGTTATTTGAGCGAGGCCACGGAATAATGATTTGAGTACCATCTTGATTAATAGCTGCTTTTTTGGCTTCATCTGCCTGATCATTACCAAAACGGCCACTATGTCCTTTGATCCATGAAATTTGAATTTTGTAGTTTGGAATTTTGCCAAGAAGATAATTTATGCCAGATACCAATGGAGAGGAAGGTAAGGGATTCTTAATAGCTAGAATAGCTGCTTGGGAGTCAGATTTTATGCGAAATTCGTTGAGATTTTTAGAATGGCTATTTCAATCGCTGGTTTTACAGCTGGCAATTCCGCTTGGAAAACACTATTATTATTATGGATATGGTCTTTTCATTTGATGATATTTGAGGGGGTAATTTGAAAAAAGACTGCGGAACCAACTTTTCCTTCAATTTTTGATCCATCAGTATAAGCAATTGGAGATAAACTTGAATTTTCTTCAGACGTGGGGAATATTATTTTGGTGAAGAAAAGCGCTGCATGGATAAGATTGGAGTTAATTTTCTTTTCATAGTTGGATGGCCAAAAGGTTTGGTTGTTGAATTCTGCGGCTTGGTTAAGCTGAAGGACTTTCATATAGGCGCTTTCCATTTCTGCACTGATTGATAATGGAAGAGTACCAGCTAAAGTATCAAGTGCTATATCTGAAGTTGCGATACGGAGTAATGCAAAGAGTAAAAGGCCTTTGAATTGAATTTAAACATTTGATCTTTCTCACTGTCATTGGTTATGCCCAAATTCCGGCTTCGTAATTTACCATTTTTGAGATGACTGCTTTTAGAAAAATACGTGTTATATGGGGATTTAAGCCCCAGTTATATCCATCATATGTCGTAGGCAGTTAGCTATTGATGTTGTATGAAGTTTAATATTTTGTAGATGAGGAATCCAGGAGAATTTCTTATCGATTGTTAAACCGAGGTACTTGATTGTATTCACAGATTTGATCTTTTAATTGTTAATTTTTAGAGATAAAGCTTTAGTTATATTTTTCCCTGGTTTATGGATCACTAAGACTTGAGACTTACTATGTGAAATTTGTAGTTTTTGAATTTTGCAAAGTTCGTTAAATAACTGGAGTGTTTCGTTGCAATTATTCTGTAAAATATCTCTGGTACGGCCACTTGTAATAAAGCTACATCATCTGCAAAAGCTAAAATTTTTGAGTGATATGGCCATGGATAGGCAATGATGTTGTTGAAACTGATATTCCAGAGATCTGCACTCATTTTAGAACTAAGCAAGCGATAAGCGATAAGCGACGGAGAACGTGGGCACTGTCGCTTTACCATTTGGGTTAATCAGTACAGCACCACGTCCACCTTTATCTTACATTTCATATTACATTATATATTACTATACATGACTTACCCATTGCATTATACACTACATATCAAATTAATACCTTACCCTAACATTACATTAACTTCACATCAACTTATTACATTAAAATTCTTTCCTAATAAACCCTATATTGGTACATTATAAAAGGGTTATTTTGCACAGAATTTCGCATTAGACACAGGATACGCATTACATTATCATCATACACTGGGCACGCATTATATTATACACGGGGAAATTAATGATACATGGGCACATTATATGCAATAGGGGTGGTATAAGCATGATACGGGTTAAATTATTCACAAGAAAATTAGTTATACACAGGCATTATACAGGATAAATTATACATATGATAAGCTTTATACACTGGATGCATATTGAATTGTCATCAGCATCATGCCAATTGTACCCGTTACTCGATACACTGCCTACATCGTTATGCATAATACTATTATACAGTTTGCATTCACATTGTTTCAGTTGAGCTTTGCATTGCGTGTCCTGTTGCTTATTAATCAGTACATACTAGATTACATACTACATTACATATTACATTACATATTATGATACATATGACACTATTACGATTATATTACATATTACATTATATATTA